TATATATATATATATATATATATATATATTTGTTTGTTTTTACAGAATGTTGCGTCTTACCTCAAAGGTATTTTTCTTCTTAAGTTTTCTCTGGAGATGAAACACAACAACATGATAACTGAGTTTTGGCATCTGTAAATTAAATTAGTGGCAAGGGAAGCTCATCTACAGTATCTCTAAAATGTCTAAAAAGAATGCATCGAATGAGGTTCCTTTGTTGCACAAACCAACACGAGCAACTGAATCAAATCCATCGTAACATGAGTTCAAATGCATTACCTTCCTATTTGTTGGTTCAAGCTCCTGATAAAGATCTGCATTTTCCGTACCCACTGGCTCCTGTTCAGCACAGTATCACTCAATAACTGAAGAAATCATTTGAAGATTACTCATTTATCTTAATAATATCAAGTAGAATATTCGTACCCGTTGTGAGTGAGATTCATCCTCCTGTTTGAACAAAAACAAACGTCTCAAATAACTCTGGTTTACATTCCCAAATACATTCTTTATTATTACTCCGTATGAATACTGACACTTACAGGTCCTCGCTTCAGTGAAGGTTGAGAGCTCAACTACAGAGACACAAACACAGTCCACAGGTCATACACCTGACACTTGGTCTTCATCAAGTTCTGTACTTTTTTTTTATTTATTTTTTTTACTCACCTTTTGTTTGAAGAACAGTGAGGTTACAATGATACAGTAAATAATCAGGAAAGTATCCAGGACATAACAAATGGACACATTTGTGTTCATGTTGATGGCTGCACAAGAAAAACAGAATAAACTGCAGATCAGCGCCACAGCAAAAGCTTCTTGTCTACATACATTTGGTTTTATTTTCAAAGGTAGGTCGGAACCCTTTTGGTAATTGTAATGTTTTTTCACTTGTTTCAGTTCTGTTGTTTTCCTTTAGCCACAAAGGTGGTCATTTGAAGAAACAGTGCCCCCTGCCTGTATTCTCCCTCTACTACTCGAACATTTTGAGCATTTTTGGGTGGAAACGTTTACCAGTACTAAAGACGATAATGAATACTAAAAAACAAACAAACAAATAACACGTGTGATTTTTCTTTGTAAAGTTTTTTTTTTAAATTCTTAATTAAAATTGTATTTTTCGAGTATTGTTGGAGGTAAAGCTTATAACTGGAACTAGAACTCTCCCTGTATGAGATGAAGAGGGAGCTACATCTTTAAAAATAAAGAATTAAACATGAGTGAATATAAAAATATATCACATATGACTGTGAATATAAACTTTTTTAAAAAAGCAATGAAATGAAAAAGCAAACATTCAGACTAAATGTCCCGATGCTTTATACACTTTGGAAAAATTATTATTAGAATTAAAATTGAAGAAAAAAAATTAAATGCATATTAGTCTATAAATATTCCCTGCTTCACAAATGCCAGACCACAGCATAATTACGCAACACCCTTAGTACAACTGTTCTCTGTAGTGTTCTAATCTACATACAGTATGTTGCAATTTTCCATATACAGGTGTGTTTTCACTGATCACTGAGTGAGCGTGAGTGAAAGCATGTATGTACCCGACAGAGTTGGACCTGTGAAACAGGAAACCTAGGTCTCTTCCTGTCAGTGCGGTGGGCTGTGAAGGCCCATTATTGTCACACTGTGGTTGAGGAAAAAAAGACGGTGCTGTGAGAGTCACATATACACCTGCGTAGTAATCCCAGTTCAACCAGTGACATTTTGGAGTAAATATGGGCATAAAACAAGCTGCTGTGTTACTGTTTATATGTATGTCAACAGACATCAGAGGAAGGTTTATGTGATCTCTCCCTCTCCCTCTCTCTCTCTCTCTCTATATATATATATATAGACAGTATATATATATATGAGACATATAAACAAGGCTATATATATATACAAATGTAATATATAGGTCTATAAATTAAAAAAAATAAAAAATAACAAAGCTATTCTTTCCACAGTTTTCATTTCTTAAATTACGGATTTCTAAAGAACTGCCTCTGTTTTTATATATATAAAAAAAGAATGATATTTGAAATTTGCCACTTACTGATACAGTAATCTGAAAAAAAAAAAAGCCGTAGCCAAAGAAGTGGCGCAAATAGAGATTACAGAAGAGGAACGGTAAACATCATGTCCAGGAGTCCAGTGAATGTCCGTAAATCACCTTCTCAAATAGATACAAAACGATTGGTTTATGTGTTTATATAAAATATAATAAATACAATGTGTGGAAAATACTGCAACATTGTAGTACTGTAATAGGATCCATAATTTTTGCTATGAACGAAAGAAATGTCAATCGAAAAGTTGGTATATATAATAGCTCTCACTAGATCATTAGGTCTTTTGTTAATTTGCTTTATTTAAATCATAATGAGTATCTGTAAATACTCGGTGTACACTGAATATTGCACTTAATAAATGGTAATAGGGTTTTTTTTTTCAAAAGCCGCCCTTCATTGACATATGTTTCTATAGAATCCAAATAAATATTGACTTGTAAATTAGAGGAGTCCCGTTCTGTCTGTCCAGCAGCTGAAACTGCTTCTATTTACTTCATTATGTTTTTTTGTTTTTATGTTTTAAAATATATAAATTTCTATCATTTTTCAAGCAGAGTTAACACAATAATTTGGTTTATTTTTTCTATCCTCTCCACACATTGTTTTAGAATAAAACTACTGATGACTCTGTTGTGAATAAATCACCTCGCCTTCAAAAGAATGCCTGTGTAAATATAGATAAAATGAAAATCAATAAATGGAACAAAATGGTTCAGTACTTTTCCCAACACCCAAAATGTCTTTCACACTGATATCTTTAAATGCAAAAAAAAAAATTGAAATATTTTACTGACTTTGCAATGGTGAAAATACAACAGACAACTTTTGTTCTAATAAAAATTATACTTGCGAACTTGTGCCCACTGTCGACACTTATTGGATGTTGTTCCCTTGTCTTCTCGTGTAAAGCGCTCTCTCTTGAATTACAGCTCTCTCAGCACATTTCTTATATAATCAGCCATCAGTGTTTGCTGCTAATTTAACGTTTTGTTTCCAGTGTGATTGACATGATTTGGACATTTTCTTTAATGAGGCAAGAGACCAGAAGGTGCATAGAGGTGATCCACTTAATATTGTATAAATATTACAAATCCACTACCAATATGAATGAATGTATTTTTAATCCATTTTTTTATCAGTGTTGAGTGTGATGTGTGACCACCAGAAATGGTTTTATTTGACTGTAGATAGTCTGGACGGCAGGATTTTGAGTTTTGAAATCATTATACGAGAAAAAAAAAAGTATTTCAGAGATTATAAGGCTACTCTAAAAATATGTCTAGTTTCTATTGTGTATTTATCACATAATAAACAAAAATGCTACATATTCTATAGTACAAAATAGAAATAATATATATATATTGTTTTTTCTAAATGTCTGTGCAGTTTTGCTCTGGTGCTAAGATGTGATCTCTGCTGCTCACTTTAGAGGCTATCTTATAGATTTTAAAGCACATTAGTGGTGGTTAGTGGTTTGAACCAAGAAGACACAAGAAGACGTTGGTATAACCTAGTATCGGAGTCGCAGACAACTGTTGCTTTGTGAAATGCAGCTGTTTTCATGATTAAAAAACATTCTTACAAATATAAGGTTCAAATATCTTTGCGTCAAGACTTCAGTAACAATCATTTGTCCATATAACTGGGTAATCCAGTCTTACACCTTTAGCTGTAAAACAAATAACTTTGGTTAACAGAAGTTAGAAAATCTAAAAGCTACTTTCTCACCTGTACAGGAACCAGGCAGCAGGAGAAGAGACAGTAAAAACACCTGTGTCCTTTGTTTCTCTTTACACAAAGACACAGTTTTTGATGGCGTGCCTTGGTTGCTCCCCGTAGCCTCAGTCGGTTTGTCTCCCTTTGCTCTGATCACAGGAAGTAACAGAACTGACAGCAGTGGACTCGTTCTCGTTAGAGGCAGCAGAAACTTTCCATCCACGGAAAAAGACGTCTCATCAACTGTGAAGCTTTTTCGCAGTTTTGTTTTTTGCCCAGAAAGAGTTCGCTCTGTAATCTCATAGTGGGCAATAACATAATCCTGCTTATTTTTTTTATGTTATTTTATTGAAGAATCACTTTTTGCTGCTCTCGTTCAGGGTTCAACACAGCAGGAGATCCACTTATAACTTGGCACTGGTTTTGGTATGCTTCATGTAATGGCAATAAGTTAGTTTAGTGCCAAGGGACTGTTCGTTAGCTGCTGGAATTGAACCCCTGATCTTATGGAGGAGGGTAATTCACCAGTTGAAACAGAAGATGAAACAATTTGGCCGACTTGGTTCACTTTGTTAGGGTTTCACCTCAGCTATGGGTTACCATAGTCTGTGTTTTCACACTATCATACGTTACTCAGCAGAGCTTTAAAAAACATAAACCACAGATGAGGTGGTACAACGTTTGGACAACTACTCGTTCAAAAGGTCAACTCATGTTTGTCACTCATTATCCTGCTGATAATGACTTATGAACGTGTAACCTTCACATCTTTACAAAGAGTTAAATGTGACCCCAGTTGCCTAATCACACTGGTCTGTGAATCTATTGAACTAACAGATAACCGGGGTCAGGATAGATTGCACCAACAGGTGACTTTATTTTGACACTGGCCTGCAAAATGTTCACGCACTTTTGAGGCATGACCCACAGGACCTTTAATTAGGCAAGCACTGACCCTACGTGTAGGTAACCTTTAGTTTTAATCCAACACCCCAGCTTAATCTGAGAAAATACCAGTGGCAATATAAGAAACAATATCTCCTTCCAACCACTAGGTGCACTCTATTAAAAAACGCCTTATTTTTTATTTGATGCATTTTGTCATCAATTTTGAAATTTCATTATGTAAAACAACTATTATTAACTACATTTTTTTCTTTTACTGCATTTGTATAATCCACATCAGTCGACAACCGGTCTGTAAACGAGCTGTTTGTGTAGCAGCTGAACACGTGATCTTCTGGCCGTTTCTTAAAACGTGTGTCACATGACGGTAGTGTCAGTCTCTGTTTCTCTGGCGTAGGGGCTGTTTAAACTCTGGACTCCGAACTACAGTAATACCGGAGCCCGCATTTGTAAGAAGGAAAAGCGTTAGCGGCGCCCTGAAATTTGAATTGCAAAAGTTGCCATTTATTTTCTTTTTTCGAGAAAACCACAGGCTTTTGTGTCCTTGGCTCCTGTTGTTGTTGTTGTTGTTGTGGCGGCGCTAACACTAGCTTAACCCGTTAGCACTAGCATCTGTGGCTAAAGCTATAGCTAATCGCAGTGATTGAGCGGTGATACAGCCGCAGAAACATGAAGAAGAACGGCGTGCAATCACGGTGGAGCCTCGCGGTGACGCTACATTTGCTTTTAGGTGAGTCTCGATGGTGTTTTTTAATATTTTAAACAAAGCGAAGGCCACTGTTGGTCAGGCCCGAGGGACCTATGCAAACGATGCGGAGAGTTCAACTGAACGTGAGTCAGTGGTTTAACACTGCACCAGTTTGAAACCCGGTTTAACCAGGTTAGCTCAGTCTTGTTGGCCTTGTTTTTATGGGCAGCCTGACAAAACGTCTTTGTTTGGAACGGAGATGAAACACATTTTCAAACAAACACGATTCCAAAACTACCAAAAAAGTTAAATCAAATGAAAGGGTTTATTTATTATTTTTTGGAAAGAACAGAAATACGTTTCATACGTCCTTAAAGTTGGAGTAGGCCTTTTTGTCACCTTTGTGATTTCTCTTCGGAGCAACTTGGTCATGGGATCATCGCCAAAACGTGTTTACGATAAACAGTATCTGTTTAATTACTATACTTTACATAGAGTACATAGAGAACAAAGGCGTTTCATTCATTGTCTCTTCGCGTCTAAGTGAAAGCTGTATTATTTTATTATATAGATATACCTATATATCTTATAGAGATATACCTATTTCTTTTAAATGGGTCAGAAACGTTCATTCCAGGTTTTGGAAATGAACGATCTTGTGAAATACTTGGTTTTATCTAATCTTACCAAAGAGCAGGTTTTGCAAGAGGAGACTCAAATGTGGAACTAGGTTATTGGATAGAATGACTCGTATCAGGAGCATATGTAGGCTTTATTTGACAAATCACAGCATTTGGTTTCACACAAGTCAGATTTGGACTGAATTCATGTTTAAGTTAAATTACCGTAAGGTTCTTTGAAATAGAAGATATGATAAAGCATTTCTTCATCAGTCACCGGTTCAAACGCTCGAAGTGATCATTTCAGATCCTGATCCTGACGTGTATCATCAAATCATTGCAAATACATTAAATGTATCATATTGCATCATTAAGTTAAGTCAAGTTTTAGCTTTTACTGTCTTAAATGTTCTGTTTTTAACCAGCAAACTTAATGTATCTAATCTTAGTTGTCAGAACTGAAAATAAAAAAAAGATATCTGTTTCAATTTGAGTCAGGGTGAATGTGCACCAAAAGACCAGAGTTACAACAGAAGTGCTGAATTCAGGGAAAAAATTAGAAATTCCAATCACACTACAGAGACCGTGGACTTTCACCGCCAACCTTTGTTCCACTAACAAGATGGAAGAAGTCTTGTCAGGACTTAAGTGTTGAAATAAGAGACTGCAGCGGTGTCAGTTTTCATGATATTCCATTGTCAAAACAAAGACGTGCTATCAGTGGTTGAACAGAACAGATGCAGTAAAGTTCTATAAAGCTGTTTGTTTTATTTTGCATACAATTAGGACCAACCAAGAAAACCATTAAAATAAAAGGTCATATGTGTAAAAGAATGGACTTATTTGCCAAATCAAAAACCAGCCGTATCACTTAACTGCCTTTTAAACCCCAAAAGTAGATCTGACAAAACTACATTTTGTCAGATCTACTTGGTCTGACAGAAACTTACCTTATAGTTTCAGCTGCAACTTGTGAACACATTCTTGGAAAAATAAGAAGAACAAGAGTTGAAGAAAAAGGCTTTTTAAATGTGATAAACCAATATGAAAAGGAAAAACCTTTATATGTTCATGTCGTATATTTTATATCAGGTACGTCACTAAAATGTGCTTACTCTTCACAGCAGCCATTGTTCATCAGGGCTTTGCAACTGTTGCCCCACCCACAGCTGCCCCAACAACAACTGCTGCCCCACACAAAGACCCCAGCAATCCTGAAAAAGGAAACTACGTGGTCAACGGCAAAAACGACACGGCCTGTTTGCTGGCAGCCATTGGCGTCCAGCTCAACGTCTCCTTCAGCTCTGTGTCCCAGAACCAGGTGCTCAGCCAAACACAGGCTCTGCAGCTCAACAATAAAACCAGGGTTTTCAGTTGAAATTAAAGCCAACTTTTTTTTCTCTTCAGACTGTACAGGAAGTTGTTAACATACAGCCAAGTGCTACAAACAGCTCTGGTTCATGTGACACAGACAGCGCCTCCTTGCGGCTGATGACAACAGACGTACAGAAAACCAACCTTACCTTTAATTTCACCTTGGTCAGTCACTTAATAATGTAGCAGTATTTTCTGTTTTAACCTGTACTTCTTTAAACTACCACTAGAGGGCATCAGAGCCCTACTTAAGCTGTTCTAACGTTTTTGGCGTTGACTTTCTTCTCCAGAACACCACGTCCAACAAGTACTATTTGAGTGAGGTGGCTCTGTCTGCTGCCTGGCCTGACATGAAAGGTTAGAGGTCATTCAGATATCAACCTTTTTTTAACTTTGGTTTTACAGTAAATATACTTCATTGATGTCTAGTTTTATGAAGCAAAGTAAACCAAAAATAACCCAACTCCACGTCTTGTCTTTTGACCTCTTGTTCTGTCTACTCTTTTAGACCCTGTCTCCGTTCGTAACACCTCTCTGGACTACTTGAGGGGCTCCCTGGGATACTCTTACATGTGCCGAGACAAGCAGACACTGTTTGTCTCCAAGGATTTTTCCATGAACATCTTCCAGGTTCAGGTACAGCCGTTTGGTTTGACTGGAAACCAGTTTGGAGCAGGTAAGGAGGTTCAGTCCATGGGGTTGTTTTCTTGTTTCTGAGTCAAATGGTTGAACTTTGTCTTCTTTGGTCTCCCAGCTGAGGAATGCCAACTGGACGAGGACGACATGTTGATCCCCATCATCGTTGGAGCAGCTTTAGCAGGTCTGGTCCTGATTGTGCTCTTGGCCTATCTCATCGGCAGAAAGAGGAGCCACGCTGGCTACCAAACCATCTAAGGTGGCTTCATCACTCACTTGCCCCCGTCATCTGGGGCCCTATCCATGATATTAACCACTGTTTAATGAGACTTTACCCCCCCCCCCCCCCCTTCTCGCCACTTTCATCTCTGTGTTCAGTAATGCAACTCTTTATCATTCTATCAGATTCTAGCTGCGCTTTCTGAACTCATCCAAAGGGAAATTGTTTAAAACAAACTCTCTACTGATGCCACCTAAAACAGAGGGGTCGCTCAGAGGGTCCAAAGCTTAATGGGGTGGATATGTCAAAGGGATTGTGGGATATGAGGGAATCACTACCACAGCTTCTCTTGATCTGTGACGTTATTCAGCTTATTTCAGCTGTGTCATTTAATTATGTTCTTATTGTAAAGGGAATATGTTCAGTCGTTCCACTTCAGACAGAACAATCTGATGTTTTTATCAAAACTCATACGAAACAAATTCATAGGGGGTTTATTGTTGGAGCAGCCTAGAGGTAGATTTGTGGGCTGTAATAAAATGTCTTTCATTGCCAATTGGTACTCAATATTTTATATGTGGACATGCAACCACAAAGTTCATGGGTGTTGGGGACTCTCTATTTCACTTTAAGGTTTGTTACATAATAATTGTTTACTTTGGGATATTTGGGCATGTCTGCAATGTTGTTAACTATAATCATTTAAAGGTACAGTTAGGGTAGATCATCTTATGATTATGTGCATTAATCAAAACCAACTCAGTAAATCTAGCTAAAATGAGATAATATCTTGGGATGAAGCTGCCACTAACAAATAAAACTTCATAAAAAGGGAAGGCATTGGACCAGGCCTGTAACCATGGATCATGTGTTTAAAAAAAAAAAAAAAGAATACAGTCAAGCATTAATGGCAACTATATGTGGTCACCATGTGTTATTTAAAATATTGACTTTGCCTTCAATTAGGTAATCTCTTGTCGGTGCAACTGTTATTCTCAGTTATACGCACTTTGTACCTTTATGCTTTGTCTTTTAAATACCCATCAAAGAATCACATTTTATTATACCAGAACCTAAGCTTCCATTTGTTGCTATCTGCATTACGTCTGAGAGAAAAGCCTACCCAGGCCTCACAGTGTTTGTTTCAATACATAGTAACTTAAGTCGTTACATTAATATTTCTGATCATTGCAGTGCATTTTCATTTTCAAATTGTAAAAACCTCGACTGCATGGAGACACCAATTTGCACCAATTCAAACTTGTGATTTGTTGTAGGCAGGTCTGTTGGACACCAGAACAGCACCGTCAGGTGTCTGTGAGTTCACATGGTCATGGGGGCAAGTAGCAGGTTTCTCCAACTTGAGAAGCTGATACTTAACCATTGTCTCCATGGTTAAGTGTCAGCTTTTTCTAATTTGAATTCAACAAATTCCTTAGACATAAAATTTTATTTTAGTTGTGTAAATATTTGTGTTGTAATAAAAAAAACCAGTCCAGACACTGGTATCCTACTGGTTTTAGGTCAGTAATGGAACAAACCATACATTCAATGATCTGTTCCTTTGTTATATCCAGTTCCGTATAACCACAATCGTCCTCTAGTAATGTGTACTGACTTGGCTCACACTCCTTTGTTCAGCCTGATTATTGACTGACTTGTGGGTTGGTATGGCAGGATTGATGCTAAATGTAACTAAAGGTCTTCTGGGCGCTGCTTCATATTCACTGTACAGACATGGAAAGTGCACATAAGTAAACCCTATTTCGTCATAGACACTACAGCCTCCATTTTGCGTTCTACTGTTACAAACGCGACACGTCAGAATTTGCATAAACAATCTCAACTAGTACTGTTGGTGTAATGTAGGAAAAAAAAGCTCAGGAGAAGGTCAATGTTGTTTTGTTTATCCACTACTTTGTTCTTTTCTTTTCTTCTTTTTTATTTTTTTATTTGACTTTGGGCCCATGTGGGATTTTGTTTTTGTTTTTTGAAGGGAAATAAGTTGCACAAAAGTCCTGAGGAGATAATAATGTAAGAAAGCTCCGTGTGATGGTTATGAAAATGGCCATAATGCTTTGGTCAGTGGTCACCAGTGCCTTCTTAACTGTGACATGGACAGGATCAGAGTCAGGGCAGACTACTTCCACTCACTCACTGAGAAACTGACACTCGTCGAAGCCGCCTGCTGCCATGTTTGGGACATTTCCTGTACTGTCATTAATATGAATTGTGTGATGTAAAAGGAGAAGGTAATGTTTCTTTTCCCTTCATCTAAATATGTGTAGTGATTTAAAAATTTGTTTTAATAGATTCATTTGAACTGTTTTCTAAAGGAGAAGGTCAATAAAAGTAAACAAACGTGAAACTTTACCTCTACGTTCCGAGTCTTTCGTAAAGTTCTTTGGTTGTCACAATTAACTTTGTCACAGGTGATTTTTGTAGTGAATGGTGTCATTGCATTGTATTTTAGTTATTTTGTTCCGTTGTTTCGCTCCATTCAGCTTGTACTGTTAACTTGTACGGTGGATCTTTAAATACAACTTTTTGCATGTATTTAAATGCGCTTTTAAAACCGTCCAACTTGGTGTGTGTCACTGATCACTGGAGCTGTTGGAAAAATCAGTTTTAAGACAAACAATGGTACATTTCCCACATTTTGGGATCCACCACTAGGCCATGAATTTACAACACAAACAGTTGTTCAAATTTATTTTTAACAGTTGAGAAGTAAAATATTTAGCATTAGTACATCACCTATATTTACACGTTCTATGCCTACTTTTTAAACTCTTTGGTCGAGACAATATTTAATTTTGAATATATATTTATTCCTATTATGCGGACCCTTAAGGACAAGCCAAAAGTGATTTGTCATGGCATAAGCTTGGTCTGTCCCTATCTCAAGTTGGGTTGTAGCAGGAGGGGTACTAGTTATACCCCTGATGAATAAATAGAGTTGACAGTTATAATAGAGTTCCTCAGGGCCCAATCCCAGTTATTTTATCTTTTAAGATGTTTCTCATCTCTTTGTTTTAATTCAAAATGTAAAAATATCTGCCTTGAATGTGAGTGACATTTCTCACATGTTGATGATGTTTCATCAACAACACATAACAGCTGGAGCAGGTGTGAAACACACCTATCTACACAGTAACAAAGCAAACAGGAGAAATCCTATTACTGTATTACCACTGTTGTAGCTTTGAAGGATCCATTACTGCTACTGCATCCTGAAGTACTGGTCAAAGATGAGGTCAAAAAAAGTTCTCGGTTAGTTGGAAATCTCCAGGATATTTTCCAAATATAGAAAAATCCTTTTCATAGGAGCACAGGGAGTCCAAAAATATTAAGGTCGTCCGGATTCTTCTGCCACGATTTGTTTTCTGCATTTCTCTCTCAGTTTATCAACAGTTGCCATCGAGAGACTTCCAGGTTCTGTAAATATTTTCTGTAAAGAGAAGATTTGAGAGTCTGTCAACAGATTCTAAGGGTTAAAGTTAAAATAAGGGTTGTAAGCATTTACTCGTGTATGTACAAGCTTTGTTTACAGAAAACCTCTAATCCTCGAGGCAAACGGTTAGAAGTAGTTTATGTATAAACACATCTGAGACGATCCTGGTACATCTAAATATGACAATGATGGCCAAGATTAGCAAAGGTCCAGAGGGAATGACTGTCTGTAAAGCTACCTAAAGGCTGCTTTAGTCTTACAGTAGTAATAGTGGTAGTAGTAAAAGAACACCATTTTTAGAAACGTATCCAGGTTTATCCAGGTCTTCAGCTTCAGTAAAAGAGTGTAAGGTCATTAGCACTACCTTTTATGGTATGGAACAAAAACATCAATTATGTGTGGTGGATTAGTGCCCTGGGCCAAATTGGCCTCACCCCTTTTGTTTCCCCACTCTCTGAAAAACATCTCTTGTTTACATGAACTACGTTCTATTCAACTCTCCAGCACACGCAGTAGGTACGTACAAAAGCACAGGCACATCCAGTCATAAAATAAAAACCAGTCATCTCACCTGCATGAATGTGTGGCAGTCGAGAGTGAACGCTCCACAGGTGATGTTTTTGTAGCAGTCACACACGTCAGGTAAAGACCGAGCTCTCAGAATCTCTGGCTGGTGGTGGATGATGAGGGTCAGTGCGACACGGAAAAGAACCTTGGAGCCTTCGTAGAAAAGACAATCCCAGATCCGTAGAACTGTCTGTGAACATAACACAACAAAAATGACGTGTTCTAACTTTGAACAACAACAGCAGCAGCACAACGTTAAAGCTCACGTTAACTCACCTCAATTGGGAGGACATCAATGTAGAGGCAGATGAACCAGCGCGACACCACCAGAGTCCATATGCCGGGATACTGGTCCATGAGTTGTCCTACTGCAGGGGCTTTGACCTTCACCAGCTCACCAAGAACCTCCTGGTCGGTCTTCAGTCCCAACATGTCAGGACTGTAGTAGTCTATGAATGAAGACGTTTTAGGTGCGGGGGAGGGGGTGTGTGACAGGCGTTCAATTAGCCAGTTGGTTCCACAGTGGTTAACTTAGTAGTATATATGAAAGATAGTTTATATGTGTCAGTGGTTTTGAAGAAAACACAAACTTAACCTGGAAGTATTCTGCCCAACAACGCATCAATGAGCCAGAAGGACTTTTCTTCATCTTTGGTGATGATGATTAAGTAGCCTACAATAAAGTTCATGCCCTGGAATTTAAAAAAAAGGGGGATACAGGTAAAGACACAGAGTCAATACTTTTACAAAATTCCAAAAAAGAAAACATTAGTCCCTTTGGAATAGAATAAGTGTTGTGACCTACAGTATCCCTTTGTTTAATTAAGACTAACACAAGTTGTGCCAAGTTATTATAGTAATCTGTATGTCAACAGACGATATGTCCTAAAGTAGAGGAGATTAGTGTCTCATCTTGACTCTACGACTGTGTCCTCCTCACCTGACAGTACCCCACTGCTTTGTTGTGGTGGCCGTAGGCCAGCAGTACGTTGCGCAGCTCCCTCTGCAGGCTCGGCTCCCTTTTGCTCTGGAAGAGGATGTTATCAGGAAACGTTCTGTTCATATCTGTCAGAGAAAAATACAGACGTAATCAATTACAGCACCAATATTGTTATGTTTTGTTTTTTTCGAGAAAGCTTGCCATGCTTTTATTTTCCCTGTAACAGAACCAGTAACATATTACACACTTATACCACACGGCTTTAGTTATTGGATTATGATGGATAACATATGACAGGAGGTGTAGCGGAACCATCTGGTATCACCTGCGTCAATAGTGTCCCTCAGCTTGGCGTCGTGCTCCACAGCCAGCAGGGACTGGTAATAACCCGGGTTCTTCTCCAGGAGGTCTTGGGCGCCGCTGGCCACCATCCAGATCCTGGCCCGGTGCTCATCAGGGACGCCTTTACGCACAAACCTCTTCACTTCCAAAATGACAGGTTTTTATTTTTAGTAAAATGACCGAGGGGGGAGACAGTGTAGATACAGTAGTACTACTACTACAGTACATGTGGTACCTGTCAGGTTCCTCTCTATGAGGGGCTTCTCCTGAAGAAGCTTAGACCACCTCATGGACCTCCTGTTCAGGATAGCACCGTAACCAGTCATCATCTCGGTGTACGACTCAAAGTCGCGTCTCCTGAAACCGTAGGAGTCGATTCTGCAGGGATGAAGTCAACGTGGTTAGCACTAAACGTGGACTATATATAAAAACGGACACAGTGATCCAGTCCAGTCCAGTCATCCTGTCCACATAGATATTGAATCAGAGGTATTTGGTTCCTATTATGCCTCTTTATCTGTAGCATTTCCAGTTCCTTTTTAATGTAAATAAAAAACTAAAGGTATGTGCTGTAACACAGAAAAAACTAAAACTAAAACTAAAGGTATGTGCTGTAACACAGCGCATACACCACTAATACTGCAAATCCTGTCAGTATACAGGGTCTATATACTGGTGAGCCAGCTCTAGTACACATTTGTTTTGCTCTCACGGTCAAAATATAATATACACTGCGGGCCAGATTTGGCCCCCGGGCCTTAGTTTGACACGTGGTATAGAATATATGGCATGAGTTTGTGTGTAATCTGAGTTCCTCCAATTGTCCAAAAGCAATTAGGTCAGTTGTTATGAGTGTGACTGGATGTTTGTCTCCGTGCTGTATGTGGTCCAGTGATGGACTAGTGATCTGTCCATGGTGCACCAGTCTGAGGAGGACCAGGCAGTGAAGAATATATTGATATTGATTTGTAACGTTGACAACCTAATCAAAGTTTCCTTGATGATCGCATCTTTCTTTGGAGGCTTATGTTGCCCATCTTAGTGTAAATGCCAGGGGTGTCAAACATATGGCCCACGGGCCAAAACCGGCCCACTAGGGGGTTCAATCCGGCCCACTTGATGAATTTTGAAAGTGAAAAAAATGCACAAACACTTCATGATTGTGATGTTTTGTCAAATTATATTTCATTAAATATGAATATTTATGTCCCTGACGTTCCAAACCGAAGCAGATCCTCAAAGTGCCATCGCTAAAAAAATAAAGTGAAATGTGTCAGATATGTATTAAATTATTGACCAACTGGAACTTATCTAGTGACATATAGTCTATCATAGAGTATAGTACAACACAGAGCTGAAGTAGAGTCGATTCCCATCATTGTCAGTGGTTGTGTTACAAACAGGTCTGCACACCTGTAAATTATGGCCTATAACAAAAAACAAATGATTGTACAAAGAACCAACGGTGAGGGTCACTTTACTCCCCTCCCTTTCTTCTCCTCTTTTCCTCCACACTGACAGCAGACACTAACAACAGCTTCAGCTGGATAAAGTTTCTGCAACAGGGAGATCAAATACCCAAAGTACACCACAGCTTAGGTTACAGTTACCTTTGAATGGCGTAAAATGGCGTAAAATGCAAAGGTTTTTTTACACATGTAACATCATGAAAATAGATTTCTGCTGAGACTGGAACTGCTGTTGGTAGGCATATTGGTAGGCCTATCGGTCAAACAAAAAACACAAGTGGAATTTAAACATAGAAGAAGAGAAAGGTGTCACTCTGTAGGTAAATTAGAGGAGACTTACTTTTCATGGCCCCCTGTCAGGGTCTGAGCTGTGTTTCCTCTCTTTTCCTTTTCCATCTCGCCCAATGAGCTGCAGACAACCAACAGCCGACACAGTGGAGGCTACTCCATTTTCATCACCTGGAAAACAAGTGGCTGCTGTCAAGGTAAATAACACAGTGTCCTGTATTTTCCAGTGTCTCTGACAGAGCTTAGTGAGGGGAGGAGCCAGGACAGGGAACGCCCAGGTGATATCCACAGGCACCAGCTTCGTTTACATGAAGGACTGCGTGTTTGATCTACACCTGCTTGTTAGTATTTGGGTATTGCAGTAAATTTCAAGGTAACTTTGCCTTTTGCAAAAATTAGAGTGTGCAGAAATCATAAGTCATTTTTACTTGTAGCGATGAATTTACTTTATCTGGTAGCGACGTTTCTGTGGTACACCTGGTAGATGGCAGTAATGCACCACTAAAACCCAAAAAAGGAAGAAAAATAGTAGTAATTGTAGTAGTGATAAAAGGAAGAGCGAGTTGACAAAATGGAAGGCTAGGTAAGACTCCTCTTTATCCCACTCTGTTGTGGTAGATAAATTCACAAACATCTGTTGGAAAGTGAAGTAATTACATTTTAAGTTACATTTAAAGTTTTAAATATTTATTTATTTTATATCTTCTACCACCTAATCCTTACCAGGCCTGTAGGGGGCGCTGGGGCCACTTACAGTAGTTCTTAGGCCTTTGCAGAGCCAGATATGTAGTTCATAGTAAATACACACTTGATTAGAGTTGACGACAGATGATTAAATCAGAAAACCAGTCACTTTTTGCTGTGAGGCAAGATCGCTACCCACACAACCACAGTGTGGCCGTGTGTTTTACTCATCTTGACTTCTTTCTCTTTTTTTTTTGGTTTCTGTCTGAAGCTGTTTTTGTAATGAGTGAATTTCCCTCACAGTATTGTTAAGTACTTCTCCTAAATGGTATTCACTTCTTCTTGACTTTACTTGTGTTTTGTTGCACCACCATCTCATCTACCACAGTTTTGTCTTTCATTCTCTGAGTTTCTCCACCTTTCTGTGGTTTGTGCAATTGTCCTCCATTTCATTTGACATTCAAATGTGGCTGCCCTGCAGTGTCGGACTGAAATATTCAGCTTTCTGTGACATTGTACTTATTTTGCTATGACAAAAACGCCTAATTCACAACAATATCTATCTTTGTCTTCATAGGAAAATCAGGTGATCAGGTGAAGCTCTAAATTAACCAAAAGTTAAAAAAAGCTTCATCTCAGAGAAGCTGTCTGACTGCTCTATTTTTAAACAAATTATATTATTTAAATGCTGCAGACGGAACTTGCCTGTAGGACAGTGCTTGTCAAATGTAGGACGTGGGGACCCCTGGTGGCTCATGACGAGTCTGCATTAATAAACGTCTTTGCTCGGTTTTGAAACCACAATTCATGAGTCATTTCTATTTTTATAGCCTAGATTCAAAACATTTTTCTCAAATACGGTTTAAAAATATAATTCAAATTTAAATTATTCTCCGTTACATAAGCAGTTACTATGAAAATAGTACTTCAACATTAATGTTATACGTTAAAGTAAAGTAGTTCCTCTAATTTTAGGCCAAGACCTCCCAAACTACATAAACCTGTGACCTTCCTTTATTTTATATAGTCTTGACTTAGTTAACCATGTTTCCCCAAGCATGTAGTTTGGACGCCATTAAGATTTCACGATTACTTGATATCACAATTTTATTGCGATATTACGCGATACGGTAAATCGATCGAAATGTTTCCTGAATATTGCAGAAAATATTGCGCCGGAACTACAGTTGAGCGCAACTCAGGAACGGAAACAAAGCAACACCCGCGTGTGTCGCTGTGTTTTGGCTGCTTTCAAGTTTAATGAGAGAGGCGTGCACAGGTGTGAAAACGGCAGAAAATAAGTTATTCTTCCCCCGAAAAAGCGCATTAAATCGTGTGGGATTATTTTGGCTTTGGGAGAAATAACCGGGCATTAAAAGCATGCCAGACAAAGGAGGAAATACGTCCAATACATCCACCTGCGGGACAACCACCCGACTTTGTTCAACAAAGTAAAGGTAACTGGATTAAATTACGTCAATGTTTTTTCTAACGTAACGTTACGCTAACATTGAATTGCTAGCGTATCATTTGCAATTAGATATGTAAGAGTACGACACGGGTTCTCCTTTTCAGTGCAACGTAACAATTACGTAAATATCACGTGACGTTGATTGTTTTTTGTTTTTTTTGTTTTTTTTTTGTCGGACATTTCCAGTGTCAGTGTGCAGTGACCTGTAGAAAGAAAACACTATGTCGTCTGTTCACAAAGTCTCCAGTCACTGAACATTTAGCATTAGCTCCTTGTGCTTTCTGCCATCAGTGAGTAACGTTGGGCTTGTGCTTCCAGCATTATGGGATATCCGTTTTTTACTAATTTGTGTATGTCACTGTCATTTAGGCATAATGTAAACAAACTAAAATAATACATACATTTTATACCTGACCATATAACATTAGACAAATGATTTAAACGTAAACATCTGGTATTGATCAGGCTTGACAACTTAAGTAATTTAACCAATTCCCCAGGGAAAATTAATGATTGGCCTTATGCAAATAGTTACATAAATATACATAAACAAATTAGAAAAAATAAATGTTTGATCTATACCCCTCTCTAAACATAGGCAGATACTTAAGGGGTCTTAAACTCAATTGACCTGGGGGGCGGAGCAGCTGCCTCTGCTGTATCATCTCATTGGAGGACCAAAAAATAACAGGGACCAGGACTTTGACACACCTGTCAAACATTTTGGCTGTAGACTCCCACGAGTTTCCAAGTAAAATGTTGTAGTTTGCTGTCAACTGGCCACACAGGCATCATTGTGAATTCAGTCAATTAGAAAAAAACCAAGGCCTCATGCCATTATGGAAAAAGTCATGCTTTATTCATCTTTCCGTAAATGAACAATATACTTACTACTTACATGATGTGTCATCATTATATTCTGTTTTCACTACCTCCAGTAACATTGAACAGAAACGTGAACATTGAACAGACATGTATTTGATTGTTAAGGCTGACCCCTAGCCCCCTCCAGTGTCCTGTCGTCTCACCAGGGGACTGTGCGCTGCTGTAACATACGTACGTACACGTGTGCCATGCAATCCTGAAGCCCTTCCACATCTCACAGCATTGAATTTCTTTCAAATGCTGCTGACCTAACTCGAGACAGATTCAGCGATTAAATACGGAAACACGCTTCTCGACGGTTGTAAAGAATTTAATGACTGACGATAAAAACGTAAGGATGAATACTGTGGACGGGATTGACTTAAAGATTTAAGACCCACTACCAACCCAATTATTCCGACAAAAGAACGTCAACGTACAGAGGGAACTGTCGGTCGTTTCAATCATGAAACCAGCCCAAAGTGGAGCAAACAATGTGTTCAACATGCTTTCCATGAGAAGTTCATGATTGGACAGATCCATCAACGGTAAAACCAACGACAGCATCATCATCACTACCATCATCGTCTACAACATTGAGGCATCTCAGAAGAGATGTTAGCGTCTCCTGTACATAAAAGAAATCATCTTTTTTTTTGCATTTATAAATTCAACATATTTATATTATTCTTCATATAGCTCTCTTTGTAAACTGTCCCAATAGATACAGTATGTACAGTAAAAACTGCATTAATTCCGTTGGTGCTGGTGTCGTGAGCACGATGTCCCCATTTCGTGTTTGCGAGTGAGACGTTGGGACTTTAGCGCAGTCACTCGGAGCTTCAAATCAACCAAATAAAGCAGACTGGACAGAATCCAAGGACACACTCTCCGGTCCATTCAGCGATTAGACGTACTCTTAGGGCTGTCCACTTCCGTCGCTTGGAGCAGATGCCCGACAGATGCTTCTCCTCCACGGGCTGAGCAGAGGGGGGTCTAGGACTCGGAGAATCCAGCAGGAAAGACAGAGGTGAAGCTGGCGATGACCACGTGATGCCTCAGTCGCACGAGGATTAAATAAAGAGGGAAAAACAACGTCGTGGGTTGTGGTTATTGTCAGTTGGAACTCAGCTCCCTGAAAAAGGTGGTTTCCTGACGGTTTCAAGTGCTTCTGTTTATTTTCTCTCTGTAGTCTACCATTTTCACTTGTTTTTTTTTTTATACAAGTCTTAAAAAAAACTATCAAGTCACTGTAAAAGAAACAAGGTTCTGTGCGTCCAGAGTCACCCAGAGTTGGGTTTAGAGAGTTTTACGTTTTGATCCTGTTACAATTGGTCGCGCAAATTCCACAAAGTCATCTATAAGAACAGGCCACGCTCCTGGAAGAGAAAGAAAGAGAGAGAAGAAACAAAGCATTAATGTAATAGACATTAATTTAATAACAACTTTATTACAGACTTTAGTTTTACAGACTTCTCCTTTCATTCGACTTCTTACGCCTTATGTTATTTAAACATTCATTTCTAGACAGAGATTTGTCCATGTGGAATCTTGTTTCAATTCACCTTCCTCGTCATAATTTGACATGTCATCTGCAATCATGTTCCCAAAGTCCAACAATAAGTTCCACGTGTCTTTTGGGATGGATCGTTTATGATGTTCCTGTAACAGACCAACGCGGATTAAAATGCTGGTATAATTATGAACAAAAATCAACAAATATATTTGTATTTGAACAAATTGCAGTTCATCTGTGGCTTCACTGCAACTCACCAAAAGAAATCTATTCCAAAGGTCGAGGAACTTAAAGCGTCCTGATAGAACCAGGTTCCAGTAGGCTACGGCCATTTCCAAATCTGGACACATGGATGAAAAAAAGAACACTTGTTTAAACTATGAACATATACTTGACCAAAATGTTTTTTTTTGTCGCTCTTCTTACCTAAACCCTTCTGTCCAGGATTTTTGGCAAAGTTAAATGTGAACTGGTAGAAATCTTTAAACTTCCCGCTGTCTTTTAGCTCCTGTTCTAATCTTGGCAAAAGGGCCTTTAGTTTCTCTGGACTGTCACACCTGAAACAAACAGGTTAATAGGTGAGAATTTGTTAAAAAAAAATTGAGATTTTTGACGAAATATCCTTATTCTGCTTTCCTCAGCTTGTTTTGATATTCCTAAATATTAGACGTATTTATTTTCGTTAATTGAACTTGAATTGAAGGTATTTTGGACAAACTAATTATAGTTTCCCTCTTTCTATCTTTTTCTATGATAATCAGCTCTACCCAAAACATGACAGCTGCCTACGTGGACATTATCTGTGTTAAACAGATACATTAAAAATCCCAGTCACAGGAGTCTTGTTCAGATCAATTCAACTCTAACGCACAAAACTCAAAAGTCAAAACAGGCAGCACATTTGCTGAGTGGTTCCATGAAGACACAGAACACCCAGGCTGTGGTCGGCACGTCTATATATAGACGGCCTTTCCTCACAGGAGCAACATGAAGAGAGCGACTAAGCTCAGACATTTCAGGGAAGATGCCGTGTTTACGTACCCCCGACAAGCTCATCACGTGTTGCAGATGTCAACACTCACCCCAGCTCCGTCATTCCATCCAGGAACTCCTTTTTGCTGAACTCGCACTGAGTGGCAGCGCGAAACTTCCACGCGACCACCAGCACAGAAATACTGGCCGGGTCCAGTGAGAGGTCGTCACAAAACTGCTGGATCCCGTCGATGCCGATCTTATTCTCATCCTGAGGATCTATCATAAACATAAAGAGTGTTCGCATGAGAACAGACGATTGAAAACAGATCTTATGGAATTTTCAAACATTTTCCAGCTGCTGGGCTGAATGAGTTTGTTTTAAAAGCTCACTGTTTCACATTTCTTTACATCACTGTCATGTGTAATGTCATGTGATGATTGGATGGGCTGCACCTTCTGATGTAAGCGTCTTTAGTCCATGTCAAAGAAGTTTGGTGTTTGCTTATTCAGTGAACTCTAACAGAGACTAGTTAGAAATATGAAATATTTCATACTTGTCCCACTGTTGTAGTGACTGTAACTGACTGTGACTGCTGCTTCTAATCAGCTTTGTCTGGATTGTATCATTGCTAAATTTAAGTTATCACTTCTATTATTTATTACATTTTTAGTGAACCAGTTTTGACCATCACTTACCTTGTTGTGCTAACATTTAGCTAAAACATCTCTATTGTTGATCTTTAAATCGTTTTTATTTACAATTGACAATGAAGAAATAACATGCTAAACACAGGCCTTCTGCAACTAAAAGCTGCATTTCTCGGGAAATAAAGGGAGGTTTCGTGTTGACAGACAGTGTTGTTTATCCCAGTTTGTCTAATTCCACAATAAGACTTCAGTCTGGACATTCTGACTTCAAGGTGCTGCCACTGTTGAATTTGCGCAGCATTTACTTTGTATCTGAACTTGAATGTTTCTTGGTGAAAAACTTTAAAGTACCAACTGACTTTTGGTAATGTACTGTTAAGCTTGTATGAACAGCACACGGTAAATCACAGGTTCCTACTTACCTTTGTACCTGTTGTAAAGCTGCTCCAGCTTTTTCCGGTCTACTGAGGTTTTCATGGACTCCTTACAGTAAAGGTCTGGGTTCTGAAAGTAGTTGTCTGTGGCCACTTCTAGTTTCCAGTCATTCTGTGTGAGGCAGTACACGGCTGTCTTCTCCCCAGCCTGTGTGAAGGACATGAACTGACGTACCTTGTCTCTCTGCGAAGACTTGAGTTTATGCTGCACAGTGACAGAACAGGGACCGTCAGACACAGGTGCAATCAGAGCAGGGAGCAACAAGACCAACGCACAAACAGCCAGAGACACACAGACAAAAACAAACAACGACACAAACACATCCACAAGCATTCAGGCAACAGTGAGGGAGACTAAAAACACACTCTGAGACATATTCAAATAGTTACACTGTGACTATGACAAACACGCAGCACAGGGGTGGAACTAAATGCTGTGGTGATAATTATGTCCCCTCTAAAAGCAAGTGGACGGAGTGACGGAGGGGGATGTTGTGGATTCGTAAAGCACATGCTGTACCCCGCAGGGCCCCTCACATATCTACATTCAGAGATGTAACATGAGCAGGGAAAGGAGATGCCCTCACCAGGACCTGGATGTGCAACAAGTCTGGACTGTAACACTAACACTCTTGCAATACTACAAAATACTTTTTTATTTTTTACAGATCAAATGATTTAGTTTCAACAGAATATTTGTTTACAGCAGCAAATACAACTGGGGAATAATTCAGCATAGTTTTTATCACAATACAAAAGTTTCAAAATGCCTTTTATCTAAATATTGTACACAACAAACATTTAGGAAAAAAATATCCTGTTTTTCATCATGTATTTCTTCCAGTTTTCATGTGTATATAATTTATGTGTACATAGTTTTGTACATAGTTTGTACATAGTTTTTTTCCACAACTCCATTTAAGTTGTTAAAACAACTTTACTTTGTAAAGTGATCTGTAGAGTATACTCAGGGTCATAATATAATAATGCAGCTATTAAAGTGCTGCAATAAACTACAGCCAGGTTCAACAGAGCTCCCTTGTGATACTTTATGATTATATTTGGGCTATAAATTTATACTTGCCCTAAATTATTTTAAAATAAGTTAAAATTTAGTGGTAATCTTTTTTTTACCATGTTACTTTAAGGTACCTTTACAAAGTGCAGTGTCGGAGACCTTACCCTCCAAACAATGCGATGTTTCAGCATAGCTTTAATGGCGTCTCTATGTTGTACTTTAAGCAAGAAATAAACATGCAGAACATAGTGTGACTTATAATAAAGAAGTATAAAAACACAGAAGAGGAAAACTACAAAAACAGAGTGGAAGGCAAAGATCATTTTAACATTGCATTTAACGAACATTTCAAGGAAGCACCTAACTGGCCTGGAACCTTTGGATTGATCATAAAGTCCAGACCTTATTAACTTTATGGAGTTGCTACAAGGTTTTTGGAGAAACAACAATTTGGATGTGGTGTGAATCTTAAAGACTCATCATTTCAAAATATTGTTCTGATCAGCTTTAAATCTGTATCTTGTGCAGATAGGAGAAATTACAAAATTATTATTATTATTTTTTTTTTTAAAAAAGATGCCTGCATCCAGTACAATAGATTATGGACCTTGGTCAATGTCTCTGATGTAGTATGACAACAAACCACGACAATTTCTAAAATTAAGAAAGTAAAATCTAAAATGATGGAAGTCAGATGGTGATGTGCACTTTCTGATAAATTACATAACTTTAATGTAATTAACTTGACTTCTGTTTCAGATTAAATACAGGTAAGCCTTTGGCTCTGTGTTAAAGTGAAGGACCTGACCATCTCCTGTCAGCAGCTGCAGTGTCAGAGACACTTGTTCTGGCCAAAGGACTGAGCAGCATTTCCTGAAACCCGAGACTTTCCAACAACTGCTAATGACTTCTCCAACCGCGACTGTTTCAAATATGACAGAGAAGGATCATAATTGGGCGTCTGTCTCCTTTGCTGGTCGTTCGGTCTAATATTAAAACAGATAGAAGGTCAGAGGTTTAGCATCGGTGTTCAAACACAGCACCGGCTAATAACTTCTGCTGCTAACGCTAGCTAAGTTAGCCGGTGTGTGTGCTACTGACAAAGGTTTAAATAAAAAAACCTTACCGGGTTAGTGTGTCACCCCGTCTATGTTAAAGCTTGAAATCCACCCAAACGAACCCACTGTGTCCAGGGACTTAACGGCTCACAGTCTGAACTCACACACTGGCCAAAAAAGGTTCGTGTGTGGCTAAAGCTAGCTGCTCTCAAAATATCAACTGACCTTCCCTGTGAACAGCAGCAGAAAACAGCATAACTGAAGCACAGGGGGCTTAATAAGCAGCGACAACGCTCACATTAGAATCTAAATGTATCTTACGATAAAGCCCAGTCCGGGTGTTGTTAATCTCTATGTGTGTATTTGTTTATTTTTGTTACCTACCATTTTTACACCCGTTGTTTCACCAGTTTTGTAGCCCGACTGTCGTTCATTGTGCGCATGCGCGGAACAAATCAAACATATTAAAGCAGGGGTAAGGGAGTCAAGCTCATATCTCAGCATTAGGACTTAATGTGGCGCTGCTCCTGCATCATAGCCCATTTTAAAAATGTACATATTGTGCGTTTCACAATTTGATTTGCTATAATTTAACAGAGTTTTTCAAAGAAATTTATTTTTTCGAGCATTTAACTTTTTTGGGGAAAATAATCAATTTTTAGAATAAGATACTTAAGCTTCTTCTACTTCAACTTAAGCTTCTTTGGACTGTTGCTGGACCAAATATTATAAGTCCACATCTAAATTAAGTTGTCAAAGACTGGTCCCTTCTAAAATCTCAAAGAATAATATTTTCCACTGATTCTTTGGATAAAGTCTTTTCCCAGTGATCACCGGTGGGAGTAGGTTACATGTACCTGAACAGTTCATCAGTCCTGCACAGTAATAAATATAAACACAACTAACCAACTGCATCAAGTTAACCTAATCCTGCATGTTTGTGGAAGAGAACCATAATACCTGTTATATACACACAATCATAAAGGGACACAGGAAAAATATACAAACTCTTCACAGAGAGACCATCAGTTACCATGAATAATTCAATGCTGTGTGTTTGTTAATAATAATAAAAATAATAATGCAGGTCCAAAAACTTTTCAGTAGTTTATGTGGTGTGAAAATTAGTTTTTGTTGCTCAGCTGAGTTTTATCTCAACTCACAATGAATTTAGTCTTCAGCGGGTGTGGATAGCAAACGCAGCTCTGTCACTGATAAGGTATCTCTGGGCTCCAGCCCCGATGCTTTTTTTGTTTGATTGCAGTGAGAAAAGCATGAAGGGTATTCTGAGTTAAAGCACATGTTTGGTAAATAATCATTGTCATGATGCTGATGGAAATGTCGACACATACCAATGCAGTCAGCAACTCTAGTATAGGCTAGTATTTACAATAGCCCTCAGTATTGAGTATCGTCTTATCAAAATTAACCTGATACTGGGATATCTTACTGCCTACAGCCTAAGAAGAATAAGGTAATTGAAACACAATGTGTAAAGTTTATTTTATTTACAATTTAATATTTTAAAAAGTGGACATTATGGTCTATTTCAGACAGGTTTCTAGAAATATTCTTTTACACTTTTTTGTTCCTTTTTTTGCAATTTAAATTTTTTTTGGTTAATACTGTTACTGTTTTTCTTTTATTAAATCTTATTTTATTTTTAAACCTTTCAACTGTTTGTACATGTATGTTATACGTTGGTTGACAGAATTTGCAAAATCTTAGCAAAAACAACATGGTTTGTCAATGAATCAAATAAATAGTTTACTCTTTTTTGCCTGTTAAATAGAGATTCAAGTGAATAGACCGTCTTCATTTTTTATCTTAGTCTGATTGTTGTAACATCCTCTACAGCAGATGGCAGTACATCCGTTTATTAAAATGTTTCTGTCATACAGGTCCGGTAGAAGCAGGAAGTGGGCAGGAAATACTTTCAGGCGCGTCTGTGTCGTCACAGTTGCGTCGACCAATCAAAGAGCTCGAAATCGAGACACCGCCAAGATCAGATTGTGAGACGCGCTGCTGTGGTGAGGCTAACGGAGAGCGTATAGAAAGGGCTAACTAACTGCTAACTTGCGAAGTTTCTCTGGTAAGTTCTATTTTTTGGCTTTTTCTTTGTCGCATTTACTCAGAACAGATCTGTCCAATTCGGATATTTTGTTTTAATTTTAACAGTCAAATGTAAATGTATTTTAGTTCCATAAATACACCAAGAAGCTACGGCAACACAAATGACAGCTGCGGATTAGCTCTTGGCTAACTGGTAAGTTAGCATATAACACCACTGGGGTTAACAAAGCGTTGATGTTAGGATGTTGTAACCGTAACAGCTGTCGTGACCTTTATGACGGATGGTAATGCCGGGTAAACTGGCACAACAAATTACTTTTCTGGCTACTTTTGCATTTTATTATAATTTCGTAAAACATTCCTATGTGGCTTATACAGCCGTCATAGTAAGAGTTAGTTAAATGTGACCACGGCTGTAGTCGATCGTTTAAGCTCCGTTGTTAATTTCAGGGTCAGTAGTTGTTTTGTGTTGGTTTTGGTAAGTGTTACGTTTGTATTGGCAGCTCTTTGGTGTTATTCATTTCGCAGTAACGGGCACTACAGTGCCTTTTTCGTGTTATATACTATGCGAATTTGATACTCGTATGTCCTTTTTAACATGTTTGAACGAGCACTTGTGTAAACGGTGAATGACAAGAACACTGATGTTGACTGAGGGGGAAGTTGACAAGTATCTGACGTTTGATTGACACATGTCGGTAAAAACCAAGCGTTACTTATTAGGATAAAAAATAAATCATTGTGATATCAAGAAACTGGGTTGTTAAAATTTAGATAAGACGATAAAGCGACGCGATGGTGTTTATCCTGTTTTAAAATTACGAAGTAGGGTGGAAACCCAATACAGGTGGTTATTCCAAATAACAAATATTAATGTGAGTTGGCATTCAATGTTGTATGCGTCAGCGTAGTTTATTTGACTATAACGACACTGCCCTTAACTTAAACTTTATATAAATTATCCCTTCCTTCTCCATATTTTTCCTCTGGCTCTTCTGTTTTTATTTGAAATCGGTTTCTTTCCAGGCAGCTTATCTATAAGACCCACCGCTGTCAGCATTGTTAACAAGTAAAAGTAGAGAACTTTACTCATATTACAAATTCATATGATGTGTCCCTAACATATATTGAAAGTTGAAATCATTATTTTGAGAGTATTAATGTATATAAAACTACTTCGGCTTGACTTTGTTTCCTGTTTCGAAGGGATTTAGACCTCCTCTTCCTCCATTCTCATATGCCAACAACAGCCGTTCGAGGAAACAGGAGAGTGCACAAGTAAGTGCATTCAAATACTTAAATCAACTTTATCAAACGTCATATTCTGCCTCAATGTTCACCCGTGGCTCATTTTGCCCAGGTATCTGCAGCACAGCACACACAGATGAAAATATTTATGGGGGGATCTCTCCGAAACGTGCACAGGCTAACAAGCTTTAGCTAGCAGGCTAAAGCCCGTAAGATGAATGTGACTGCTAAGTGTTAGCCGTGGCTGCATTCAACAAAAGACCAGTGTCCAATGCAGTCGTGCTGTTCTTGGGATGCTCGGCCCTCTCCATGCACCTGGTCCTTCCGTTACTATATGCTCCGAACAATTTAGTTCCGTGGTTATTTCTTACATACTATTGTGAAAAAGTTCGCTTGTTTTCGCGACCTGTAGAAGTTCTACGATGCTTCGGAGGACGTGCTCGGCACCTGAAGTAGGCCTCCTGCACACTTAGCCCAGGAAAAGTTCTGAGCTTGGAGAGATTAGGTTTTAATGTGGTTTACTACTCTATTTTGGGACTGTGTCTCCTGCTATTGTTTAGATTGTTCTAAAACGAGCTCATTTGCCATAATTTTGTCCTATGTGTCGATCTAACGTTATTGATGTAGCTCAATCATGCAATGTGCTGGCAGCAAGCACTTCAAAATGGGCCCCAGGCCATGAACAAGTTAATTTATTTGTAAATACCCCAAATAGTGTGTGTGTGTGTGTGTTAAATGGGCCTGCATTGTATTTGAAAATTTAAATTATGGTGTGTGTGTTGTAGAGATGAACAGAAAAATCAAAACACATTTGTTTTTGTTCTGACATGAAATGTTGGCTAGTTATTTAATCAGCTTTCGATTGTTTTGAATTCTAGATGAAAGTCTTTTTATTTTTTTAGCCAGGCCATAGTTATTTTTTCATGATAACTGTTTTCAGACTTGTTAGTCAATTTTGTTAGTCAACAGTTGGCTGGTAAATGATGACTACCTTTTATTTCAATTGTACTTATGAATAAATATGCATTCAGTCTTTTGGTAATCAATGCTAATAGATGTGCAATTGTAAGGTATTTTACAATTTTAATTAATAATTCATTATATGTTATAGTTCATTTTAAGGAGGCAAATTCACAGTTTGTTCCCAACGACTTGAACTCTCTCCACTCTAGGTAGCTAATCTTTCAATCAAGAACAATTAGGACCAGGAACTTGACATATTTTGACGAACTGTAAAACAATGCACTGATAACATCTTTTAATAAATGCACATTCTCATAGAGTAAAATGTGTATTGACAATTGTTTATAAGTTATATAATAAGCAATAAGAAAAACCTAAATTCCTTTCACTTCAATCAGTATTTGTGGTATTAAAGGGGCAGTGGTGGCTCGGTGGTTAGGGAAGCTTGGGTCCGGAAGGTCACAGGTTTAAATCCACCAGCCACTGAGGTGCACTGAGCATGGCACCATTTCCAGACACTGCTCCCTGGGCAATTGGGTTGAGCTGCCCTATCACATTTCATTGTCTGCTGTGTCCCAGTGACAATAAATCACTTTCACTTTTCATTTATCTTCTGTGTTGTGTACAGCACTGTGCAGAAGCTGTGATATGTTTCAACTATTATTTAAAGTAAAGTAGGGAAATAATATTTGGTGTTCAAGCCACTATCATTTTTTGTAGGTATGCTTGCAAAATGTAGTCTGTTGTATGATCACACACCTGACCATATTAAAAATTCTAGTGTTCATTAATTTCACATATAAGTTGAAACACAGTTTCACTTTCACCACAGTGAAATTTTCCAGGCTCAAAACAAATGGATACTGTAGTATGGGCAGATATCAGCTATCAGATATCAGCTCAGAATTAGCAGAAATGATTGAAATCCAGTTATACATTTCCAAGAGGTGGTGTTCATGGTAATGTTGCATCCAAAAGCCATTCCTCAACAAATGAACAGGGCCGAACAACTCAGCAGAAAATGAAAATACAGGAACTTTGTTGCTAAAAAATTGGTTCAGTCCAGATCAGACCAGTGAGTTCAAATTTGAATGTTTGCTCTAGCAAAAAGCCACTTGTTCACTTAATGGTTGGTGAGTACTGACAGGCAACATTGAAGTATGGTAGAGCTTCTTTGTAAATTTGGGGCATACTTTGTGCAAATAAACCTGTGGCTGAGGATTAATGGTCTCTGCGATGCTGAGAAATACAGAAAGATACTTTCCATAATGCGATTGATTGATTGATCAGTACTGTATATATTGCATATTTTGGGAGCAAGTATAGGCCATAGTTCCAGTAAAAAATGCATAGGACCTTCCACAATTTTTAACTTTATATTTTATTTATCTCTTTATTCAGGAGTTTGACGAGTGACAGAGGAAAATCTTCTTTTAACCTGAATCTCAGATCCTCCGGTCCTTTGGGATCATGGCAAAAGATGTAAGTGCTTAAAGTTGTAGTTTAAACTTGAAACCTGTGGTGTATTATGGGTTTTGTAACAAGTAATAAGTTGACATTAATGGTTTTGATATTTGGTTTACTTAAGTTATCTGTAGCTATTCTCTTTAAAAAGTATTATGAACAACTTGATTTTGTGTGTTTGTCTGTTTTTTAAACAGGACCAATGTTATTATTATTCTCTTTTATGCAGGCTGGTCTAATTGAAACAAATGGAGAGTTGAAGGTTTTCATCGATCAGAATCTGAGCCCCAGCAAAGGTACCTGTGTAAATAATGTATAAATACATTTCAACCAACTACAGTAGATAGTGTAGGTGCCTGTATTGCATGGACGTCTGTGTGTTTAGTTGGACAAATAATGGCAATAGGGTCATACCGAAGATCTCACGGTTGTCACTACTTCTGTTTTCCACCAGGTGTCTTATCCTTGGTTACTGTCCAGCCTGCAGCTGCAGTGCCCAAACAGCTCCTCCCCAAAACACTCGGGCCATCCAATGTCAACGTTGCAACACACGTTCAACATTTGCCACACATGGTGAGTGATGCTCTGCCACACTCTGGCCTTTTGTCATGAAACAAGCACATTTGTACTGGAGTTTTGAGCGGAACAACAGCTACACAAAGGTCAGAGTTGTAGAGTCTCTGTGACCATGTGTGTTGGGTACATGTGTGCTCTGCTGTATCTTACTGTTGTTTAAGCCTGGACATTATCATTGTGAGGTGACCGGACAGTGGGTAGGTGGAGGCAGTTGATCCTAAGCTTATCAACTGTACAGTCAGCAGGATTACACCCATCATCTCATTATACTGCATACTATCTATATAGAATGTTTGCAGACCAGAATCAGCTTAGACACAACCGAAGTTGCAGACTACCTCACCCAACTCTCACATACCTCACTTTTATTGAATTATGAATGGATATGCAATTCAGCTAAATTATTTACCAAGTAAATGGTACTTGATTTACTCAATACTAATATAATTAATTAAATTATTTACCAAGTAAATGGTACTTGATTTACTCAGTACCAAGTACATAATGTTTATTTTCAAGTACTTTTCCTCCAGAAAAGAATGCTGACCTCATTATTAAATGGAGCTGTCTTCTAGTATAGTTCCAGGTCTCTGATGCATCAAGCCCAGGCATGTTAGAAGAGGTTTGGGCCGGGTTAGTACTTGCTTCACTACTAGTTACCTTTCTTGTGGCTGCTGTGCTCTTTGCAGGTGATAGGAACACCACAGAGGCCCACAGTATCAAATACCATTTTGGTAAACAGTCCACATACGCCAAGTTCTCAGTTCCTCACTCAGAGTCAACCATCTGATGCCTCTCCCTGGTCATCAGGGTAAGTCCTCAAAGACGAAAATAAACGCCAAACCATGTCTATAAGAAGCGCAATGTCTTTTTCAATCATGTCTCCGTATCACCAAGCACCATTAAGTGTGTGATTTATTCTGACCGTAGAAAACGTGGTAAAAAGGGGGACAAGAATGGGAAGGGCTTGAGGCATTTCTCCATGAAAGTCTGTGAAAAAGTGCAGAAGAAAGGAGTAACCACGTACAATGAGGTGGCAGATGAACTGGTGGCAGAGTTCAGCTCTGCAGACAACCACATGTCGCCTAATGACCCAGTAAGTGCTGCAGCTGCAGACGATCTTTCTGGTTGGATACATTTTTGAAAAGCATTTATTTACCATTCAGTCTTTACTAAGCAACAACATGTAAAATACCCTGATGAGTTTTTTGTTGTTTTTCTTGTAGCATGTGTACGACCAGAAGAACATTCGGCGGCGTGTGTACGATGCACTGAACGTGCTCATGGCAATGAACATCATCTCTAAAGAGAAAAAAGAAATCAAGTGGATTGGTCTGCCCACAAACTCAGCTCAGGAGTGCCAAAATCTAGAGGTACGGTACCACATAATTAACTCTTTCTGTATTGGCTTGTAATAAAGTGTTTGCTGTTTTACAGTGTTTCTGCCTTAAATGTTAATTGTAGGTGGAAAGACAAAGGCGGCTGGAGAGGATCAAGCAGAAACAATCACAACTTCAGGAGCTCATCCTGCAGGTGAGGATAAGGAGTTTAAGTTTGTAGTCATTTTCATTTTTTTTTCTTGTATCTATAATAAAGCTACTACCAAACCTAATATGGAGCCATAGAGTAAATTTAATCTTGTGTTTAAATGAATTAAGCGGAAAAGTAAAGTAAACTGAAGATGCATTTGATTTTCTGTGAACACTCTGTGGTGGAGCTGCAGTCAAAAAAAGAATTCTCTTTACAGCAAATAGCTTTTAAGAACCTGGTCCAGAGGAATAGACAGGCAGAGCAGCAGGCAAACAGACCTCCACCCCCCAACTCCATCATCCACCTTCCCTTCATTATTGTCAACACCAGCAAGAAAACTGTCATCGACTGCAGCATCTCCAATGACAAGTATGTGGTTCATGTTGGTCAATGTTTTCCTTGGAACAATGACATAATTGATGTGACTTTTTAAAGTTAAGTCTTCAACTTCAAGCAAATCCTTTGTCCAGTGTAGCATTAATTCTTGACCTGATGGGAGGAACCCAGGTCAAGGATTCGTTCTGATATGTCATTTATTATCTTTAATAAGTATATTATAATATTAAGTAAAATGGACATCACATCATTTAGAATGTTTAGTAATGGAGCAGAATCCAATTATGATAGTGTTGAATTTATAGTTTATGTGTTGGTATATTTTGTTGCAATATTATGGATTCATTGAAGATGTTTTAACTTGAATATCGGATCAGGTACCTGAGTCCTTGCAAATTTAAAGTACAGTCTCACTCTTTCACATTGGCAGGTTTGAGTATCTGTTTAATTTCGACAACATGTTTGAGATCCACGATGACATCGAGGTGCTGAAGCGAATGGGTATGGCCTGTGGTCTGGAGGTGGGGAAATGTTCTGCAGAGGATTTGAAGGTTGCACGTAACCTGGTACCCAAAGCGTTGGAGCCCTATGTTATAGGTCAGTTGTGGGGGGATGGAGTGTGGACTGAGGAGAAAAGTGCTTGGTTTAGTCATGCACCATCACCATGACTCTGCATGAACACATTTTTGCCACATCAACACAAACTTTCTGTGACTCTTAAAACGTTAAGAAGATGACAGACAGACATGTAGGCTGATGGTCTGAATGTGTGTCTAAGACTAGATTACATTTTGTTATTAAGTAAATCTATTTTCTTTTTCTTCTTAGAAATGGCAAAAGGTCCCATCAGTAATGTCTACATCACTGGAGGATCCTCGGCTAACGGAGCACGTTACCCTACCAACAGGTGAGAAGTCTACCTTGTCATTTAAACACAGTCACACAGGTCTTTCTTGCGTGCTAACTAAATTCTCTCCAACTTTCAGTGACAGCTGCACTGACGGCACCATGGCTTCCAGCTCCAACGACTCTCACTACAGCGGCTCTCGTGTGGAGACTCCAGTGTCGTACATGGGGGACGATGACGATGAAGACGAGTACGACGAGAACGATGATGAAGACTAAAGCCTTTTATACTTTTGTTGCTCCAACAAGCACAGTTCTAGAAAACAACTTCAGCGTGGGAATTTATTTTCCCCCCTCCTTAGTGTGTGCGTCTTCTACTCCCACCTCCCTGCCCCCCCATGCCCGTTTTCCTCTCTGGCTTTCTCAGGGGTGTACATGAATTTGAACTGAGGTGTGTTGATGCACCCTCCCCTTTTTTTTTTCTGCTCCTGAATTGCGTGCACCTGCACTACAGCTTCTGGGGTGGTCTTGTCCAAGGGAACTGTGGTCTGTGGCCCATGCCACGATGCTTTGTCAGTCTTTGTATGTTTGTTTAATCCATGTTTCCATAAGCCATCCCACTAAAAACCCTCTGTAAAACCTACTGCTGTTGGAGAATGTATAATGTACTTGTTTGAATAGTTATTCCTATGTTTTGCAGTTACACATAGCATATGTGATGATGTTCAGGATGATTCAATGATGGCCAAAGTGTCTGCATCACGTCTGTCAGTGCGACACCATGGAATTTGAAAGGCCTGGTAACAGTTGCCATGTCACCTCTGGATGGGGCTCCATCAAATGTGTCGATACTTCTTTGTTTTGTATTATGGACAATACTTTGAGATAGTTTCTTATCCCCTCTCCCCCTGTTTGTGTTGGGCTGGCTTCATTTTCTTCTGTAGGCAGCTGCTTTCCTGATCTTGTTTGATAGGGTTTTGTTTTTTTGTTTGTTTTGCATTTCTAGAGTTGATGATTTCTCCGTCAACACCATCTTAAAGCCTTGGTAGTGTTTACAATGTTATGGCACCAGCAAGGTAATGACTTTCATGACCCAGGCTCCTGATAGGTAAAATAAGCTTTGTTTGTTAATGACATATATGAACTCTGTGACGATTGTAGCTTATAGTGTCCTTTAGAGGCCAGTGGTAAAGATATGAATTATTAATGTAACAAAATGTGTGGTTGTGTAGGTCTTGATGTGCTCCTTCAAAGATCTCTTTTAAAACTGAGCAACACATGTACTGACTCTTCCAAATACTTTTGTGTAATCTAATATAAGTTTGCAAAAATTAAATATAGATTGTTTTAATACGTTTGGATCTACGTTTCTGTTGTGTGTGTGGTGCAAGATGAAGGTGACCGGCGTCTTGTTAGAGCACCTTACCTCCTCAGTGTATGTGAGGAACATGTGCTCTGGTATTTCTGCTTGACGTGAAAGGTATTTGAAAGATTTCCCTCCCCCTAGACATTAGGTTCATTTTAACCAACAGTTGGTTTCCTGAAAGTCAACACTGACTGTTAACCTGTATGTCTTTAAGTTCATCTTGGTCAGTTGCCGAAGTCCAAAACCTCCAGTGAGAAAAACCATGGAAATGGTCAATACTTTTTAAACATCAAAATGGTTATAAAATAAGAAGCATAGGAGTTAGTGTCTCTCAAAGTCAGGGAATTATTGACTCTCTATGGTGTAGAACTAAGAACCCCATCAAAGAAATGTTAGACTATGCAGAACATCTGGTTTGCATCATGTGACTGAGTCCTTTCCACATTCAGACATGCATGATTGGTTCAAAAGAAGAACATCTTTAGTCATTAAATGTGAAGATGTGAGGATATATATTATTAGAATCCTCACAGGAATGGGCTTCATCTGAAGGTGAAGGCAACATAACTACAGATGCAACAAATGGATCTGCAGTAAAAGACCAAAGACTTTCTGGTGATTGTGATGCATGGTGTCTGATACTGTACATATATTGAAACACTGGTTATTTTTACAGCAAGAAAGCACGCTTGTTCTTTTCTTGAGGTTATAAAGTTTGATTAAATGCTTCTGAAAATGTTGAACCTTGTGTTAAAAAAAAATAACAGCCATTATTGCACTTTGTTGCAGGTGGTGAATGGAAAAAAATATGTATCTGTGGGCTCACCACAAGATGTCACAAATGACTCCAAACTGCTAACATCGAGTGTTGTTCAGTGCAGGTGTCCGTTGGAAGAACACCAGATTAACTGCAGGAAGACGATGGCCGTGTGCGAGGTGAGAACAAAACTTTTGTTAAACGTTGCATTTAGTGTGCATTTAGTCCACTTTAAAAGCTGACAGTTACTAAGAGCAACTGCTGACATTGACACTGGTCCTTGGTTTTAGTGAAGTCTGCCCAAATGTTTTTGACATGTAGTAGAGATGAAAAGGGAATCACAGCTACAGGAGCCCGTACTGTCTACAATTTAGACACAGCCGAAATCATGAGAATATGGTGTGTTTTTGCAGTTTAATGTTTCTGTCATTTAGCATCAAAGGACTGTGTGGTTTGTGTGTTAAATGAGTTCTGACCAGCCTTCACTTTGTTGTTTTGAGAAATGGCTGTTCTTCTGCAAAACAAAAACCTTTTGTGAGATCTTTTGGACAAATGTGTTGGTTTTTTTGCAGGGTAGAGATGAGGGAATAAATTTCACTCTCACTGTTTTCTTACTTTAATTTTAGCCATATTCTACTGTAGCCTGTTTAGTATTCTAGTTCAAAATATATTATTAATATCCGAGTCCTTGGAAATGGCAGTTTTCGAATCCTTAAAGACTAACACAAGAGGCACTCCAAATTGTATTTTTAGGCCACGTCATTGGTTTAAATTCCCACTGCTGCTGCGGTGATTGTGATTTGCCAGTTGGTGCTGGTGGTGTGCCAGCTTCATACTGTAAACTGCCTGTTGTATCGTTCCAGCATTTGCTCGCACACTTTGTCTGGGGCATTAGGGTGTTAATGGATTACTGAAAGGTGTTGACTCAGGTGTGAGTGAGTGAATGAGGCTGGTATCCTGTTCAAACTGTTCTGGGATCTACTTCAGGCATCAGCCTCTCGTCCCTTCTTTATCTCTCTTACCCGTCTGCCTCTGTTTTTTTTTGTTTTTTTTTTTAATTTTGTTTCCTGTTGTTCGCTCCTGTCCTGTGTCGTAGAGAGCAGCACTCATCTCACTCTTTTGCAGTTTCATGCAATGTTTTCTTTTTGCGTCGCCTAACAGTCCCTTACTGTGAACATGGATATCGGTGGGCTGACCACCGTTGTGGCCAACTCTGCGTACATCAATGCCCGTGGAAGCATCGATGGCTCCAGCGCCGCGGCAGGCAGGGATAAAAAGTACCACTCTCGTCTCAAGCTGCCCCATATCACTGTGTGTGAGGACTTGAGGGACACCCTGGATCTGACCTTTGACTCCGCCTGTGTGGAACAACCTATTGGCAAGCGCCTCTTTAGGGAATTCTTGAATGCCAACAAAGAGTATCACGGCGCTTGTCGTTTGTGGAAAGACATTGAAGACTATGACCTGGCAGAGGATTCCGACAGAAGCACCAAGGCCTCCAAGATCGTCCAGCGGTACATGGATCCCTCTGCCAAGAACTACTGCCCATTCTTGTCTGAGGAAGTCATAGCCAAGGTGAAGAAAGATCAGGACGCTGTCGGAGATGATTTATTTGCTTCAGCGCTGTCCACAATGTTGGACTATCTGCGTGAGGCGCCCTACACTTTCTACCTGGAGAGCATGTACCTGAAGAGGTTCCTGCAGTGGAAGTGGCTGGAGATGCAGCCCATGGATGTGGACTGGTTCCTGGATTTCCGTGTGTTGGGGAAAGGCGGGTTTGGGGAGGTGTCGGCGTGTCAGATGAAAGCCACCGGGAAACTTTATGCCTGTAAAAAACTGAACAAGAAGAGACTTAAGAAAAGGAAAGGATTCGAGGTAACTAACATTTCCTTTTAAATCAACTCCAGTGTTAAATGTTAAATGGATGTCCCAATAATATGTCTTTATTAATCTACTATTATAATACTAATGGTGATATGTTCAGGTCTCTTGTTTGGTGGTAAAAGTTGCAATAAGCAAGCACATTAACACCGTCTCTAGTGATTGGCTTGTGTGTTTTTTAAAAACCACACAACTATCAAGTTACCAACAAATATTGTTGTGTTTACTGGGATTAAATGTGAGCAGAGAGTTCAGTGGTGCTAATCACCTTTGTTTAGCATTAGCCTGCAGTATTAAACACTGACACAGGGATAGAGTGATTACTGGGGGCTTTGGTGAAAAGCTCTTCTGAATGGAACTCCTTGGCACACTTATACGTCGACCTTGACTTGGTTTGCATCGGCGTGACAACATGCAACATATTCTGTGTCCATCCAATAATGAGTTCTAAATTCTACCTCGTCTAGAACACTCTGCTCTGGTTCTTGTACTCTGGGGTATGGTTTGGTGTTCTTTAACAGTGTGTCCTGACTTTGCCCTGCAGGGTGCCATGGTGGAGAAGATCATTCTGGAGAAGGTCCACAGTCGCTTCATTGTATCACTGGCATATGCCTTCCAGACAAAGGATGAGCTTTGTCTGGTCATGACCATTATGAACGGAGGAGACCTCAAGTAACTTCACACTCTGAACAAAATCCTTTTATGTAAAATGACTGGTAGAAGGGAATCGACATGCTTGTCATTTTTGAGGCAGTCAGATGAAAAACTACACACACTGAAGTATGAATGCAGTGACTTTTGTTCTTTCTGACACAACCTCAGTCTCACCTGTTCCAGGAGTCCACAGAATCTTCAACAGCTGACTAACCAGTGTCCAGTATCCATGCAAATCTAAGCTGAACAAATGAGGCTATTAGATTGCAAGGGAATCAACTGCCCGTGGATTAATTGAATTATATTATTTATTAATGAAGCTGATGATGGCTACAAATTTATTTATTTAATTAAAAATACCAAACACTGTATCTATCTGACGAGATGAGTTAAGAATAGTCACTTTCAATAACCTTTCATTAAACCCTGGCAGGGAGCCACCAGGGGGCTCTAGGCTCGATACCACCTAGTCCACAAATCAGACGATGGACTACATCAAGAAGGACATCCAAATTAAAAACCAACCAATTATACCTATGGTGACCCCTGAAATGGGGACAAATCAAAAATGATTCTTCTTTGACCAGACTAGCTTGAAAAAACGTTAGCATTAGCATTCTGGGAATTTGATAATGAAATGGTGTGCCTTTTATTTATAGAGGATCTGTTTTCTACATTTTGACAAGGAATTGTGGGTATTAAGTGACACTACAAAAACACATGAATTTTCCAGAAATCTCAAACTCAGTTCTCCATACAATGTTATGGATAATACACATTTGGATAGTCCTTCAAAGAGGGCAATGATGTAGCATTGGTGACACCAACAGTGACTACTTACTACTTACCTACTCACCTTCCTACCACCTAGCCTGCCTAGTAACCACTTCTTCAACCTCGTGATCTCGCATCCAACACCTCCCTAACCAACCTACCCACCTACCACGTTACCCTCAATACAGACCAGTCTGTTAACTTGCCAAAATACCCCTACCTACCCTGACTGTGATGTGTTCCCCTAAGGTACCACATCTACCTGGTGGATGAGAACAACCCAGGCTTTGATGAACCCAGAGCCTGTTTTTACACAGCTCAGATTATTCAAGGCATGGAACATCTGCACCAGAAAAGAATCATCTACAGAGACCTCAAACCAGAGAACGTGCTGCTAGATAACGATGGTATGGTCCTATTTCAGAATAAAGACACATTAGTTTGTCGTGTCCTGTGCTTTACTAAAGTCATGTTATTGTGTCACACAGGCAACGTCCGTATTTCTGACCTGGGTCTCGCTGTGGAGCTGAAAGAGGGTAAAACGATGACCAAAGGCTACGCTGGAACACCAGGTGGGTCTCATCTCTGTCTACCAATCACTGATGTGGGATTGAACACAAGAGTCACCAAGATTTCTTGGTGATATGATCAAAAAATGGAACATTTCATCACCTGAGTCCCATTTCTGCAGGTTACATGTCCCCTGAGATGCTAAAAGGTGAAAAATACGACACCTCGGTGGACTACTACACTCTTGGGGTCACGCTTTTCGAGTTCATGGCTGCAAAGAACCCCTTCAGGAACAGGGGGGAGAAGGTTGAGCTGTTTCTGTTTGAACCACTCCATCATTTGGCTCAGTCAAGGCGGTGTGACGGTGTTGTTAATGTTGTCTTCTAGGTCGATCGTGAGGAGATGAAGGAGCGTGTGTTGACACGGGTGGTGGAATATCCAGACAATTTCAGTGAACATGCAAAGTCACTTTGTCAAGGACTGTTGGCCAAACAGGTTGATGAGAGGCTGGGCTTTAAGAACGGCTGCTGTGATGAGATTAGGGCACATCCATTCTTTAAAGACATCAACTGGAGGAAACTGAATGCAGGTATCGTCCTTTTGTATTTACTACAATACATTTATCCTATATTGTTGGATAGAAATTGTGCTTTTTTCTTTTTTAATTTCTGCATTATTTTCCGTCCTTTTTAGGCATCCTCCCACCACCCTTTGTCCCTGACCCTAAAAGAGTTTATGCTAAAAGCCTGGATGATGTTGGAGCGTTCTCCTCTGTGAAGGGCGTTGCATTTGAAGAATCTGACAAAACCTTTTTTGACAATTTTTCTTCTGGAAACATATCCATTCCCTGGCAGGAGGAGATGATCGACATGGGTATTTATGCAGAACTCAACCTTTGGGGTCCTGAGGGCACCGTCCCCAATGACCTCCGCAGGGAGTCCATACTGGAGCAACCAAAGTCATCGACCTGCTCCGTGTCATAAAGATGACCAGTCAGACCTTCAGACTGAGATGGTCAGGAGACAGTGCAGCTCTCCTGCAGAGGAACCATCAACATGGCGGCTGTCATTGGCTTCAACAGGAATCACACCACAAACGTAGAAATACAACCTGAAATTACTGTCGTCTTAGTGTATTATGAGCTGTCGTTTTCTCTTTCATACGTTACATGTGTTGCTTAAACTAAGGGTCCCCAACTCTCTGTCCACAGACCAGTACCAGTCTGTTGGTCATTTCTTACGTGGCCGCAGCGGAAAAATGAAGGATTTACTTCGGAGAATCTGGCAATTTTCAGAAAAATACATCTTTAACTGTTAAATAGTAACAGAACAAAGTCTTGAAGATTAGCGATGTCCAATATAAACTTTTTGCCGATATTTGACATGGATATTGTCCACTTAATTTTCCTATTCCGATATTAACCAATAAAGCGAGGCAGTGGTGGCCTGGTGGTTAAAGTTAAGTGCCGCTAAGTGATGGGTTAAAGCAGCATTTTTCAATTATTTTCTACCATGCCCCCAGAAGTTTTTTTGAAATACTATTGAGTGCCTGGTAATATTTATTTATCCATATTAGTTGCTGGTCCCAGCATTCAGCATACAATCCCCTGTTTATTAAAGTAAATCAATGAAATGAGCTGCAATGCTGCCATCTAGTGGCTTTCACTTTTACATAGAGTTGTTTTTCCCCAAAACTATTTTTATGGCACACATGATTTGGCAAAACCCAGGCACTGTGTTATCAGGTTTTCATATTGGAGTAAAAACTGATAACAATTCTTACAGATATTACATAATTGCTAACATCAGGTTATGTCCGATAATATAGGACAACCCTATTGAAGATGTTTTATTTAAAAAATGTACTAACCCTTAATGATCCAGTATGGGGTAACTGACCGGCTTAGACTGTGCTTTTTTTTATCTACTGTTGATTGTACAGAAGTCACCTTTTTAGCACGTAGAGAGCGATGCACCGTAGTGCTTTGGTGCTGTATATCAGTCACAAGTAGTGCAGGTAGAATTTATAGTTTTAAAAAAGTGTTTTCTTTTATAAGAGGTGCGTATTTATGATGATCCAAAGTGAGGCAGGATCTTTAAAATGATTCCTCAGTGTTTATATATACATTTTCCTGTGTGAGATGAGTGTGAGATGTTTTGATTTGAATTGGATTGCACGGAGAAAAACTTAGCCACAACTAAAGAATTTATTTAAAAAAGAAAAAACAATACTTCAATGAAAAGTCAATGCAGTCTGTATCAGAAATACCTGTAAGAAGAAGCCGTGAGAAATACAAAATAAAAACTTATTAGAAAGGAGATTTTGCATCTTTTTTTCGTTGTTTTGTTCTTTCTGCCACCACAGCCTCAGCAGTATCTAGGAATGTCATGTGAACTGGCATCAAAATGAGAATGAATCAGAGATGGTAAACAGAACTGGTCTTTGCTCTCTGCTCCTCTGTTACTCCTTAGCTGTGGCCTTGTATATCCTCACCTCCTGCTGAGGAAGCTCTATGAGCAGCGTGGAGTTAAAGCTGCTCTCGAAGCGCTCGGTGAACTTCAGGTCCGACGGGAAGCGGATCTTGTTGGCCCACAGCACGGTGGTCTGGCTCCCCGGTCGGCAGAAGTGATGCATGGTCCTCAGCAGCTCCTCCAGACACCTGTGGTGGTAGACCACGTCAGCTGCCAGCACGTAGTCGTAGTGGAAGGACTTATGGGGGAAATTGCTCTCCAGATCCTGACCCCAGGTGAGGGCAGCCACCGTGGGGGTGTGGCCACAGCGCCCTTTGGTGTTTCGCATGAGATTAAATGTGAGATTAGACAGTATGTCTGGCAGATCAGTGGCCGTCACCCGAGCCCCTGAAAACAAAGATGAAACAAAATCTTATTTTTAATCTCCATGTTCCAAATATACATTTATTCCTGAGAAGCCATGGGTCCATGGATTATAAATATGCCTACACTTGCTCTGACTTGCACGTACTGCGTGTTTCCCTTCCATACGTGTACATAACTGGACAGCATCAGCCTTACATCATATTCTTACTGGTTCTTTACAGTTATTGTCCTGTTTTCAGAGAAACACAGAGTGGGTGGATGGTGCTGTTGCCAAATAATGAGTTCCAGTGTTTTAAGCGATTCCC